ACCACAAAATGACTCAAATGATTCCAAGAGCAGTAGGAAGTTTATGTCGCATCATGTATTACATTTGTAATAACTCTTTGAAAATGTAAATAAGCTCAAGTAAATTTGAGGTCTTAACTTTTAATCTTTCCTTCACAACAAAGGAAAGAAAAAGTATTTAAAATCTCAAAATTTATTTGGACTTACTTACACTGTCAAAGAGTTGTTCTAAATATTATTTCTTAGCTACATAAAATGAGTACCATACTGTAACTAAAGGTCTGAAAGGGTTCTACACTGCTCGATGTCAAAATCATTTGAGAAATTCTTGTTCATGCCAACAATTAATTAAAAAAGGAGGTCTTGTAAAGAGGTTATAGATATCAGAGTCAGTTGCTTGTGCCTTAAAGAAGTCAATAAGCTTTTCAAGTGTCTTAAGAACTTTCAGATTCAACTCTGCTAATTTTCCTAGCTGCATTTACGCTCCTCAACCAAGGTTTTTGCACAATGGCTTTGATTCAAGAGTTTAAAATTTTGTACTATTACCTTGTGCTAGAGGCTTTGTCCATGCATGTTGATTATCATATTTGCCATCTCGGTCATCTTTTAACATTTTTTATGTAAACGTAAGGCACAGATGAAAATACATGACTGTAGCTTTTGCACTTCCTCCCACCAGGAGTTTTCAGTGTAGAAGACAAAAGAGATATAAGCATAACTCTTTGATTCCGAATAGACTGCCTTGTAGAATAACACAAAAAACTCACCCAAATTGTCCACAAGACTTTGTAAGTACTTGAGCTGGAGCTAGAGCTTCTGCTGCTCTTCCAGCCCTCTGGCTCAGACTGGCCACAGACCTGGAATTCTATGTCAAACTCACTAGAGCTCCATAAAACATAATTTACCATTTACCTCATCTAGCTTTGGCTCCGGGACCTTAATAATATGCTCCAAGACTTGAATACATAAAATAAGCTCTGAGCTCCAAGAATTTCAATTTACATTTGCCTCCAACTTATGCTTCTCCTATTTCAACTCCTGTAACTCCTAAATCACATGTGAACTCACTACATCTCCATGAAATGCATGCAATCTAAATTTACCTAATCCAACTTTGGCTGTGGGACTTCAAGGGTGCACTTCAGCTCCTCAGTGGTGAGCTCTGGCTCCACAAGGGAGAGGTCTAGTTCCTCATTAATGTGCTCTGAGACTTGTATTTATAAAATAAGCTTGAAGCTCTAAACATGTCAGTTTACATTTACCTCAACTCGCACTTCCACTGCTCCAACTCCTCTAGCTCCTGAATCATATGTGAGCTCGTCACAGCTCCATAAAATGCATGCAATCTATACTTCCATCTTAGGCTCCAGGTACCTCCAGAACTTGGATTCATATAGAAGCTCCAGGTACTGCCCCCGCCCCCCACCACCCCAACCCCGCACACTCCCCCGGCCCCCCCCCCCCCCCCCCCTCGTTCCACCGACAGCAGCCAATCAGTCAACTGTTTCACGTTACAAAGATAGGATTTCGAAACGTTCCTGTGGCTAATGATTTACATTTATGTCCTATACTATTATAGTAGAAAGCAGAAGTTTGTTAGCATGCAGTTCTTTTTCCATGGCTTACACCAGCCTTTACCCTTAAAATTACTGACTGCAGCAGCTGAGGTCGCTCAGCTGCTGTACCTTGCTAGCTTGCCTGCTGTTTAAGAACTGATGTTGTAAGCATTGATGACAAGCTCAGCCTTCCTTGTGCTGCCAACCAGTGAGCAACAACCACAAGTGTGAAAGAGAAGATCACAATCAATACCAAAACTAAATATTGCAAGAACCACAATGCTGTCACCAACACCTGGAATTTGATTTGAAACACAATCTTTAACTAAGATACCAGTACGACATTCACAGACAATTGGCAAAAGTATGCACCAAGTTAAGAGAATCTGAAAGAAAACAACTACCAACAAGAAGATCAATGCACCTTAAGTGTAGAAGACAATGTAGAGCAAATGACAGAGGCCAGCCTGAACACCTTGAAGTGTATAGATGCCACCATCGCCTCTCAGAACTGCAAGCGGAAAACTTGAGAACGAGTTTCTGTACCAGTCAAAAGATTTAGGCCGAGCCCACATTGCCTTGACACTTCTCCGGCAGCTGGTGAAGATGTCCATAAACTAACATAAGGCTTGATCCCGTGAGGTTGAGGCAAGAGCAAAGACGATCAGCTCTCCTACAATCTTGGTCTCCTGTGACGTCTTTTAGATTGCTTCTATACATGACTCTATGACAGGAGTGCCACTATACATGGCTCCCTAGAGCAGCTTTATAACCACATGGCAGATGTATGGACTCTTGATGTGATATTGTAAGGTTCTGTTTGTTTCACAAACAGAACGCACATTGTCATAAGTAGGAATGAACTCTATGTTGGCCAGCCTCCTTATTACTCTAACTCTCTTTACATGCTTATTCGCCATAGACTGAAGTTAATTGTTGCAATTTTGTTATAACTTTAGCTATCGCTGTCAAGCAGGATGCACCTAATTCTCTCAGCTCAAACTTCAAAAGCTTTTTGAAAACAAGGTTCGCTTACTGGGTTACCCCACAGGATGTTCATAAATTTCTAAACTGAATTGTAGACTGAATTGTTGGAGGAGACATCTGACGAAATAGCAGCACCAGTTCTTTCCAGGAGCAATGCCACTCCAGTAGCTCTCGTCATGGGTAAGAAGAGGCCATAGTTGACAAATGTGGTGCGGGAAGCAGGAGCTGCGACTGCATTCGAAAGAGGATGTGACGCTGTCTGGAAATATTGTGCTAGAATCACCTGCTAATGTACTCGATCGTGCACCAACAGGAGCCAGCTCCTACCAAAAGACCAGAATCAGTGCCCTGTCCATCTAATGACAGTACTACTCAGGCATGCACAGCTCCTCTTGATAATGCTTAGTATTGATTTTCATTGTCTTTACTTCAGAGCTTTCTTGCGCTATTTACCTAGACCGATGTGCTTTAACTTATGTTTTACATCCTTTTCAAAAATTTGAAGTAAAATAGTGAAGGAGCTGCAGTAAGGTATGAAACTAATACTACCTTCAAATCTTTTGTTACATACCAAACCAATCGGGGATTAATTGAACCTACGAGTAAGTCTTGAGGAGCCTTTCTTTAAGAGTGCTCATGGAAAATCAGAAGATGGCACTCGTGGAAAATTATAAAAGATAGTGGTTATGGAAAAGAATAAAAGGATAGCACTCTCGCTCCCAGAAAATCATCGGAGTATAACACTCGTGTTCACAAAAAAGAATTGGGGGACAACAACTACAACAAAAGTAAGGTGAGTTGTGAGAGATGAATTTTTTTTTTACCTCTTTGGTTTTTCTCTCGAAGTTGCAAGAGAAGAATATTTTTCCAACATTGATAGGGCAAAAGCTAGTAAGTCTATTTCTTCATTATATATATTATTGATTGATGTTGTCTGTTTCTTAAGATTTTGCGGAGGCTCTTATCACTTGCCCAAAGATTCCAGATGCAAATGTAAACTTTTGGGATTCAAGATGAAAACAAAAGGCTCGTCCAGAGTTTTATAAGCCGTTCATTTTCCTCATTGAACCATGCAACCTAATGAGCATATGCCATTTGGCTCCCCCAAGATAATGAGTCATCTTGGATCCCAAAAGCTTACGTTCGTGTCTGAAATCTTTGGGCAAGTGCTAAGAGTCCGCACAAAATCTTAAAAAACAAACCACATCAATTAATAATGAAGAAACAAACTTATTAGATCTTGCCCCGTTAATGCTGAAAGAACATTATTTTCTTGCGACTTTGAAAGAAAAACCAAAAAGATTAAAAAAGAATTCACCTTTGACAACTCACCTCACTTCTGCTGTAGTTGCCATCCTTTAATTCTTTTCCACAAACATGAACGTTGTTCTTTGATGATTTTCCAGAAGCAAGAGTGTTGTCCTCCAATTCTCTTCCACAACCACTGTCTAATAATTTTTCCATAAGTGCCATCCTCCAATTTTCCACTAGCACTGTCCTCCGATGATTTTCCAAGAGCACTGTCCTCCAATTTTCCACAAGCATAGCGAGAGAGGGGAGCTTGGACAACCTGGGAAGGAGAAGAGGATCATCAACAAAGAATTCACACGACTCCTTACCTTGCTCCAGTCCATCCCGCCGTCATCACAACTCCATACTTCCCTCTTCAGGCACCCAGATTTCTGATCAGCATCCATTTCTTCTCTCCTAGAAAACCAGCGAGCGTCCATTTCCTTAGAAAGACACTTATCTTTAATATCTTTAAAGGGTAAGCAAACCTGCATTCGAATGCAAACCTTCAGAATCACAAAGCAACTTCCTAGAGCCTTCCAAGTCCTTTCTTTTGTGCTATTACCTTTGCCCGACGGGAGAGATCGAACAACGTGTTGAGGACCTGATGCACCTTAGGGAGTGCAGAGAAACAGGAGACACGCACGGATCAGGTATTCCTTTCTTCATCATGCTGTCGAGAATGTCGCTGAGCAAGCTCACGATCTGCAATATCCTCAAAGTCTGACCTTCAGAACCGAACAGCAGTTTGCTCGCTTTGGAACACGAACATGGTCAGTGCACAATCTTCCGAGATCATTCACACCGCCTGTTAGCCTGAAAAATGTAAAAACGACGCACCTCACACGACAAGGGGCCAGCGCCGCCTTGCAAGCCGAGCACAACGACGCCATGGATCCTTGAAAGGCACTGTGCTATAGGGCTAATCCCAGCCTCCAATTTCGAAACCCCATCCAACGGCGGTCGGTTGCTCCACCGACAGCAGCCGGTTGTCATGGGATATTCCGCGTTACTATTATCTATTAACTACAACTCCACCACCAGTGCTCGAGAGCTCGAGCACCTTCGAAAGCTCTCGCAACCGAGCGTATGAAACCGCTGTATGGACTCAGAATGCCAATGCTCAGCAATGCTTCGATGATTTCTTCAGCTCGCTCATCTCACCTGTGAAACAATGCTCCCCACCTCAAATGCAAGCCAGGCTCACTTGAAATACATGATCCCACTTCGGTGTTTCCTGAGAGACCATCGCTGCATGCGGAGCTGAGCTCTTGCACGAGCTTTGTCACTCTGCATCTTCCGCGTTGTAGGATTGTCAAGTTGTACCATCTGCTTTTGATTGTTCTCAAAGCCTTTGAGCTTTTACCCCATAAGTTCTAAGAGAGTTGCTTCCCATCCAAGTTTGCGAGCTGGGACGAAGAAAAAACGTTACCAGCCATCGGAAGAAGAGGCACATTGCACTCTACCTTCAAGTGAGAAGCTACTTCTCCATGAAAAAGGAACTGCGGCAGTGGGGTATACATAGGATCGTCTGCTGCAAATCGAGATTTAAGGAAACACTGCACTGCAGAGAAGACAGACAATTGCCTTCGGGGGACAGAAAACATCCTTTCACAGTGTCAATGGCACATGTCCTTCATGCCCAGAAACTCCAAGCATCTCACAAAAGCTGAAACGTATTAGAAAAAACAAGCTGTTCTGCAACCGAGACCTCGTGCAGAAGCTGCCAGTACAGAGACATGCTGGCGTTGATAAGTGTGGTGAAACGCCCCGTTGTATCCTTCCCAAACTTGCAGCTGCGTTAAATGCCGCTTCGAGAGCTGAAATTGCATATAAGACGCCGGGAGGGAGATAATCCCACCACCTGGAGCAGTCATTCGCTGTCTTTGGAGTGCTTCCTAGATAGAGATGTTCTTTTCCCATACAAACCTGTCGTCGCCATGGCTAAGAAGGCCCAGAGAGCTTTCCCAACCATGGCAACGAACCTCCTTGCATCCGAGATCACGGAGGAACGGTCTGCATTTTTTTCCCAGCATAAGAATCGCTGCCCACAGCAGCTGAGCGAGGTTGCTCAGCTACTGTAGGAACTGACGTTGTAAGCATCGATGACAAGCTCAGTCTTCCTTGTGCTGCCAACCCGTGAGCAATAGCCGCAAGTGTGAAAGAAAAGACCACCGTCAATACCAGAACCTTTGTTGCCACCTCCCTGACTGCTCGCCAAATACTCAGATAGCATGCTGAATATCGCAGCAACCACAGTGCCGTCAGCACCACCTGGAGTTTGATTCGAAGCACGATCTTTTTAACTGAGATACCAGTGGACAATTGGCTAAAGTATGTACCAGGTTAAAAGAATCTTGAAACAAACAAGTATCAACAAAAAAAAATCAACACACCTAAAGTGTAGAAGACAACGTAGAGCGAATGACAGAGGCCAGCCTGAACACCTTCAAGTGTATAGATGCCAATTGGACAACTTATTACTGTCGTTCTTAGCTTTCTGTCCAGCTTCTCAGAATTGACTTGAGGATGAGCTTCTTTACCAGTCAAAAGATTTAGGCCACATGCCTACATGCTTCTCCGGAAGCTGGTCAAGACGTCCACAAATGCATATCAATCTGAAACGCTCTTTGTGATACAGCTCCTGCGCCAAATAAGGCACGCACTAACGTAACGATCGTGCACTACACAAGGTGGAGCCAGCTCCTACCAAAAGACCAGAATCAGTGCCGTGTCCATCTAATGTCAGTACTAGTCAGGCGTGCACAGCTCCTCTCGATAGTGCTGGTAATGCTTCTATCGCTATAACAATTTTTCATTGTCCTTCTGCAGAAGTTTCCGTGACTTGATAAGAGCTCTCGCGTGCCAATGCTGTTTGTCCAGACCGATGTGCTTTTGCTCAAAATTTGGTGATGCTAGCACAATATTTCCAGGCAGCATCACATCCTCTTTCGAATGTAGTCGCAGCTCCCCACATTTGTCAATTATGGCCTCTTTTTAGCAATATCTTACCCGTGCTGCTATTTCGTCAGATGTCAATAGAAACCTATGAACGTTTTTGTTGGATCCTGCGGTAAGCGAACCTTGTTAAAGAGCCCTTTCAAAAAACTTTTGAGAGCATCAGGTGGATCCTGCTCTACAGCGATAGCTAAAGTTATAACAACAATTACCTCCTGTAAACAGGAGTAAAAAGGAGGCTGGCCAACATAGAGTTCATTCCTGTTCATGACAATGCGCGTCAATGTAAAACAAACAGAACTTTACAATATCACACCAAGAGTCTGCTCTAGGGAGCCATGTATAGTGGAGCTCCTGTCACAGCATCATGGTTTCACGAATGTATAGAAGCAATCTAAAAGACAACCTTCGATCGAGCGAAGAACCATTTGTGTTGCAAGACATGTCCACAATCGCAGAGCTGATTCCAACAATAGACACTCACAGGATTTCACAATCCAGAAGTGGTGCCTTCACCGGCACCGATCTCCCAGTGGATGGTGTAGTGCCCGAACCTACGAGTAAGTCTTCTTAGAAAAAGTCTCGCACTAATCTTTGTCGCTCTTGCTGTGCTTGAGCATACCGTCTGGGACATCGATCGATCAGGGGCAAACAAGAAAACAAGAATGCAGCTCATAGAACCTGGCCAGTGCATCTCGTCAAAAAGCCTAGAGCGATACCCAGAGTAGAAATTCTTCTGGTACATTTATTTTGTATGGTAAGAATTCTTTTCTCTTTTTCGTTCTTGAAGGCAAGAAAATTCCCCCGTACAACGTGGCTGGGATAGAATTTCTGACAAGACATGACAAGACATGTCCAACAGACGCTCGTAGTGCTCCTCGGATGGCATTCTCATTCTCCAAAACTGTTAAGGCAACTTATGCTCCACAGCCACACATTTTTTGCCACAAGACTTTCCTCTGCTTCTTCTTGATCACCTCGCCTTCGCTTCAAGCCCGGCTTCAAAACCATCTTCTCCATCTCCAGATACAATTCCTGCTGTACAGCAGAATGCTTGACGACCCATGGATGCTTCTCAATTTCATGGATTGGCAGCCTCTTTCTCGGGTCCAAGTGGAGCAGCTGGAGAATGAGATCTTTGGCTTCCTCGCTCACATCCGTCCAGTCAAGGGAGCTTACAGGCACTTCCTTCCTCCCCACCCAGAATGCAAACTGCCCCGACAATATCTCATACAAGACAATGCCCATGCCCCACATATCTACCATCTCATCATACTCATCATCAGAATTCACCATCTCTGGGGCACTGTAAGCCTGTGTCCCAGAAAGGTCGCTCATCCTAAATTTTACGCCTGGCCCCTCGCTCAACCAACACGTTCCAAAGTCAGCCACCTTTATGCTGTCAAATTTCTCCTTAATCCCTAGGAGGATGTTGGCAGTGTTGATATCCCTATGAGCTATTCCCATGTCGTGCATTTCGCCCACAGTCCTGGCCACTTTCTTTATCACCAGTGCTGCCTCGTGCTCACTCAGCCTCCCTTTGTCCTTCAACACATCTCGCAGCGAGCACTGGCACAACTCCATGACAAGGTGATAGTATTCTTGTTCTTTGAAAACGTCCACTAGTTGAACCACACCACTTTTTGCTGTGCTCTTGGAGAGTTTCGTGAGTACTCTCATCTCCAACTCCGCTTGGTCTTCAAGATTGTCGGTGACTCGAATTGATTTACAAGCGAACAATTGACCGTCGCTCTTGCGTTTGATTTGGTAGACACTTGATTGGCCTCCCTGACCCAGCTCCTTTTCCACCGAGAACAAGTCTCCCATGCTTGCCTGGTTAAACTCCATCGCCTCCATAGATCGCACCAGTGCCATCTGCTCGTCCATCAATTTCCTGTGCTCCTCCATCGATTCAGTGCTCGGTGTAGCAGCTTCTTCGTCTTGTGGGGGAGGTATTTTGAGTAGCTCGTAGAGCTCCTTCAGCTTCCAAAGTGCATCAAGTAGCACCTCTTCTTGAGGCTTACCTTCGTCAAGCGCCATCCCCTTGAAAGTCTGTTTAACCCTAGTCTTGATGTAGCAATTGCCTTTTTTATAATTTCCTATACCAAAAAGGCTGTGAAATGTGAAACCGCTTTTTCCACAAACAATTTTTACCTTTCTTATTCAAAAGAATCCAATACGTCTGAATAAAAGCATTAAACAAAGTGCCTAGTGACTTGGTGGAAATACTTTTTGTTTCCAAATAATCGGCGAGCATCCTATTGCTCACAGCAAACCACGAACACAATGCTGTGAGAATCGCCGGCGCTTCATTCCCTGCGGTGTGGTGCGCTTGGTCTGCGCAGTGTGAGCCTGGCAACCAGCTCTGTTGAGTTCTTGGCGGCATTCACTGACAAAACCTTCACGAGGAAAGATGGAAAACGTTAATCGACTCATTCTAAGACAAACCTGTGGAATCACAATGCAATCTCCGCAATCGCCAGCTGCTCACGCAATCTCAGAGTTGTGGCCTGCTCTCGGAATCATGCCCAGATTTTCCAGTTACACCGACAACGGAAAGTTCTCGGAGTGGAGAAAAGGATTTGGCACTGGAACTTTTCTCCATCATGCTGGATCAAGGACGCGAGAATCTTTGTGGCTGTTCTTGGTGCCTACGCGCGGGAGAAGACGGCAGGGAGCTGGCTGGGTAAATGGTGAAAGTGGTGTCCGTTAGAGAGGCAGTCAGTCGGGACACGAGAAAAAAAACAACACACACACGTCCAAAGCTCACATACCGCATTAGTGGGATATTTTGGCTCTCGCGTTAACAGTCTTCGCAGGCTGGACCGCATCGACGACATAGCCGATCTTGCAATGAGAATGTTCTTTACCGATTTGGCACTGGCTGTGGACGACATCGAGCAGTTGATTAGAGTCTTCTCCAGGTTTTCGACCTGTGTCCAAAATTTAAAACGATATCACTCACAATAGCAGAGAATGGCAAAGTTCCAACCTTTATGATTTTGAGCGTTTCTTCTCGCTGGCTAGAGAGTCGCGGGCGCGTCCTCGCCAGTTCTTTGCTTCTCCATGCCTGTATGGTGTCGCCTTCTTGCCACTCGTTGAACCCATCGACAACATTCCAAAACCTGGAACTTGAATTGGACGTAGCGAGCAGAGATAAACGTAGATACCTCTTTGGCTACATCTTTTACCCGTCGAAGCGAGCTCAAGCTCCCAGTGTGCACGCTTTTCTTCCCTCGCTTGTAGCCTTTGGTCAGCTTTCCTTCCGTCACCATGCATAACGCCACTCGTCCACTTCCACTCGTGAAAACCGCTCGAACCTCCAATTTCCAATTGGATTTTCCTCCTGGAGACAAGTTTGAGTGACGGGAGGATGGAAATGCAAAGAACCATGTACCTGGATGGGCTTCAAGAGACCCTCCTCATGTCATCTACCAGTTCCTACATGACTTTGTAACGCATCTTAACGCCTTTGCTGCCCCTCACCGTCGGCTGCGTGCGTTACGTTGACGATTCCTCCACGAACGCAAACTTCCTAGACAAACGCGTTATGAGAGGAACTGTAGAAAAGTCTTTAAAAACAAGAGCCTTACTTTGGCACCGACAGCACCTAAAGCAAGAGCTATGGCTTTGCCAACGCACCTGTAACCAGACTGAAATGCGAATAGTATTTCCTGAGTTGCCTATACTAGACTGAGAAAGCCCCCTGGTACATGAATCTTCAAGTTTAAAGGAGGGATAAAAAAACGCTCTATGATAAGATATTCTATTACTCGAGGAAACCGCTACTTAGCTTTTCGTGATGAGCTCGACTAAACATGGCGAATTTCTCCGTCTCAGTTTTGGTGGAAAACTTCCAATATCCTCAACGAACCACTTTGATATCCTGTAGATGACACAGTGAGATCAAGGAAAATGTAGAAACCGAGAGAGTACCTCTAAAGATAGAAAAGGATGCGCTGCTCAACTGTTCAAGTAAGGGTGTAATGACGGTGGCCTGAAACGTCTGGACAATCCCACTACTCTTCGCTGTGATAGAGTGGTCGAGGATTGTACTGGAGGCAGGAGCTCGTCTGTAGAAAAGAAAGAGAGTGTTGTGCAACAATCAACGAGCGACATGCCTTACCCGGAGTTGCAGAGGAACATTCAGGCTTCTTCACTGTCACATTCCAGGGAGGCGCTGATCAAAGATAAGAAAAAAGAAGAGCTTACCTTTTGCGGTTTCGCCTACTCCAAAAGAAGCACTTACATCTTCTCCTTCATTCATTCTCCGCTTTTTAATTCTCTTCGGAGAAGCGTGTCTGCTAGCATTCGTGCCGTTCCCTTGCTCTTCCTTTTCGCCCTTTCCAATCAAACAGACACTTCCTTAAAGCAAAGAAGTAAAGCGCAAAAACTTACTCTACGTTTGGTGCTGTCTGGCATATCTTCTACCTGGGCTCCAGTCGCCAGCAAGGACAGAATTTATAAACGAGAAGAAAAATAGATAAAACTTACGTACTTCTTGATGCGTCGCTCGATCTTCTTCGTGAACCATATCCTCTTCCATAGTTGGCTGCAGAGAAACTCTAAAAAATTGTGCAAGAAATAGAAAAATCGAGTGGCACCTCTTGCACTTTCGCAAGATCATCTACATCAGCCGGCTGCAAACGAAGAATCAAAAGTAAACGCATAAAAGGGAAAAAGCGCGAAGAGAGGCACCTGTGGCTGTTTCGTGAGATTTCCTGCACCACTTGGCTACAAGCAAGAAACCACATAATTGTCACGGTCAAGGAGCAAAAGAATAGAAAAGGCGAAAGAGTAGTACCTCGTACTGTTTCGAGCGGTCTCCTGCATCAGCTGCCTGGAAACGAGCATTCTAAATGAGAAGGAAACAAAATCAGCGAAGAAAGAATACCTCGCCAGATTCTTGTAGCTCAAAAGCTCTTGAGCGACCTTCTTCGTAAGTAACATCGAGCAAGCACTGGAACGCAATGGATGGATTTGTGGGCGACGAAGAAACAAAACTGGCCGTCGAGATCTCTGAGGCCACCGCTACATCATTGAGTGACTCTCTGATGGCCCTCTCAAGCTGCATTGCCTCTGCCCGTTCCTGGAAAAAAAAAAATCTGCGGGTAAATCTCCTCTCTCCAACGCAAAAGGAAAAACAAGAGAAAAAGCAAACCCAAACGAAGCAGAGTGTGGGTGAGTACCTTTGGATTTGGCCTCGCCTGGAACAAAGGAATGAGCGCCACAGCTCCAAAATCTCTCTCGCACAGACTCATACCTTCTTCTTCTTGTGTGCTGCTGCTGCTGCTGCTGCTGCCGAGCTTCTGCTCTCACGCTCCGGCCGCCGCCTTGCGCTGGTTCTCACGGGCAGCGCCGAGAAATCTTCATCGTCGTCGTCAGAGACGCTCTCGGCGTAGGAAATCCTGGATCGCGCTTGCCGCTGCGGCCTCATCGTGGAAATCTCCTAAACCCTAGAATCTCGTTCTCTTAAAGGTGCCATAAACCCTAAACGTGCAAAGTTATGAAAAGAAGTTTGGAAAGGTAATAGAAACATATGGTTTACTAACCTGATACTAGTTAATTTAGACTAATAACTAATTACAAAACAAATTACAGTGTTCTTGTGATTTATGTTAGGCTAAAGGTAAAATTTATAGCTGTCCAACTATTAAAATTACAAAACTACTACACTGTTAATGCAAAATTTGGTCCTCCACAACACAAAACCATTGTCGCCTAACTCATCACTCATCGTCTTGGTTGTCTTCCTTGTAGAGCTTCACCATGTCATCGATTCGCAAGATGGTGATGGCGGCTTCGGTGGCAAACTGGATCGAGGCGGCGGGGTCAGAAGCGAGAAACAAACATATAGAGTGGATTTAACCTGTATGATCTTGAGCTTGCTCATTGCCGGCTCCAAAACACCGGCCTCCAGGTTGTTCCTCACAGCTCCTTTCAGCAGATCCAAACCATAACTGGATAAAAGCACGAACACGATGCTGTAAGAATCGCCGGCGTTCCTCGGATGGCAAGCTTCTTACCCCGCGTAGTGCTGCTTGTCGGGCTTGGTCTGCGCAGTGTGGTGGTACGCGCGGAGCTTGGCAACCAGCTCTGTTGAGTCCTTGGCGGCATTCACTGACAAAACCTTCACGGGGAAAGATAGAAACGTTAATCGCGGCAAGCAAACACGCATTCGAAGACAAACCTTTGGAATCACAAGGAGCGCTTCAGCAAACTCCGCAATCGCCAGCTGCTCACGCGATCCCAGAGTTGTGGCCAGATTTTCCAGGTACACCGACAATGCAGCCTCGACAGCACCACCTCCAGCAACGACCTACGAGATAGTCAGTACAAACGCAAAGACGTCCTCAGTTCACATACCGCACTAGATTCCAGTGTACGCTTCACAATACTCAACGCGTCATGCATGGACCGATCCATTTCATCGAGCATATAGTCATTCGCACCGCGGAGAATGATTGAGACCTGTCACAAAACAGCAGAAGTTCTAGCACCACGAAAGCAGAAGTATAACAAGGCTCACAGCTTTTGTGCTCTTGGCTCCTTTAACCATAATCACATCATCGTCGGCCACATGTTCCTCGGCTACTTCTTCAGCATGACCAAGGTAAGAAGGGTCAAATGACTCGCCGCCTTCCATATCGGCCAGAGTAACAACCTGATAGAATGGAGATTCGCTTCAGTAAATTCCTTGAAATTATACTCAACCCCACCATTGTAGCACCAGTTGCCTTGGCCACATGCCGTAGGTCCTCCTTCCGAACACGGCGTACAGCTATTGCTCCTGCTTCTACAAAATACTGAGATCACAGCTCCTTAGTCTCGTTTCAAAAGAGAATCGCTGAGCCATACCTTTAAAGACATATCATCTATTCCTTTCGTAGTGAGAACGACATTAGCACCGGCCTTCAAAATCTTTTGAATCCTTTCTTTTGTAATGTCCGATTCCCTGTAGAAGATAGAAAAGTCAGACCAGATAACAAAAAAGAAAAAAAAAAGAAAAAGAAAAGAAAATAGCTATTACCTTTGCCGAATCTTCTCCAGCTCACGTGGATCGGTGACTAGAACTTGCACACCCATTTGCATTTTGGACTTTTGAAGGTTGACATCTAGACACGCAATTCTTGCCGGGTAAACCCGTTGTGGCATGCCTTGTGCAGCACGTCCGGTATTGAGAGCATACCCATTTAACAGATAGCTGTCCTTCCCGCTCTTTCCGTGAGCTTTCAAGATGTTAATAGACTGGAAAACATATTCGTCAGAATTTGCAGCAATGGGCAATGACAAACCTTAATGGGATATTTCGTCTCGCCCTTCTCGTTAACAGTCTTCACAGCTTGTACAGCATCGACGACCTGGAAAAGAATTGATTAATCGATCTCGCGATGAAAGTGTTCTTTACCATTTTCGCGAAAAAGTCACTGTCTGTACCAATAATCTTAGACGACATGCTTGTTTTCGCGCAGTTGATTAGCGACTCCTTCCCAAGTTTTTCGACCTGCGTCCAAAACTTGAAAAGATCTGACTCACAATAGCAATGAATGGCAAAGTTCTAACCTTCACGGACAATCTCTCTTCGATATATTTGCACGATTCACGCATAGCAAGCTGCAGGTTCCACTTGTGAAAATCTACACAGCACAGAACGCAATCGTGACATACCCTGAATCCACTAATGATAGAAGTAGGATGGATTTTGTTCCGAACTAAATCGTTGGCCCTCTGAATTTTAGAAGCTTTATCACATAGTAGAAAAGAACGAGAGAGCCATTTTTACCTTCAAGAGCTCTGCGGCAATAATAACTACAGACGTTGTACCATCTCCAACTTCTTTGTCTTGAAGCTCAGCTAGTTCCACCATAACCTGATGATTTAAACTATCAGCATTGCAGCAAATAAAAGTGAAAGAACTAGAACCCACCTTAGCAGCAGGATGCTCGACTTCTAACATTTTCAAGATGGTCGCGCCATCGTTCGTCGTTGTAACATCGCCAATATCGTCTACAAGCATCTGCGATGGAGATCACAGAACGTTTTTTCAAGAAAACTAAGAAAGAAGAAGCAGACCTTGTCAAGGCCGGTTGGCCCCAGAGAGCTCTTCACAATATTGGCAACGGCCGCGCAAGCCGTGACTGAAGATCGCCAGAAAGAATCAGTACATAAGGCCGAAATCCCACACTAGAGCGCGAAGAATCTCACCATTCTGTGTGCGCACATCGGCGCCGCTCTGCCGCTCGCCGAAAATGTCGAGCGTCTGCACCTGCGCCATCGCTCTCGCAGTCACAAGCTCAAAAAAAAACTAGGGCACAAAGGGATATTCTAGGAATCCTGTTTACTAAGTGATTAAGATTAATTTAATTCAAGAGCAAAGGGATATTCCAAGATTATGGTTTATTGCAAAGTACCGCGTTAAGGTTAATTAAATTCGACTATGGCCCGGCCAAGGATTTGTCCTCTGTCCAAGGCATCAAACGTTTGGTTCACTTCTTCCAGACCACATCGCTGCGTCACCGCGCTGCTTAGATTGATGGCTCCAATCTCCGCGAGGGTGACGAGCTCTGGAAGATCTTGTCTCGCTCGAGCTCCATAAGAACCGATGATTCTCACCTGTAGAAACGAAACAAATTTGGATGAGAGGATCCAAGGCACCGCAAAGATTGAGTTACCTGTCTACGAACAACGTGAACCATGTCGAATTCTGCCGTGGTTCCAAACGAGGCGAGCCCGACCATCACAGCTCGGCCTCCATCGCGGACGCTCATGGCTGTTTGCTGGAAGGTCTTTGGTTTTCCCAGTGCTTCAATGGCAACGTCGACTCCTCTTCCACCGGTGAGCTCCTGGACGAACGAAAGACTGTAAGCGACCATCTACAATATACTTGAGAACTTGATTTACCTTGATAGCTTCCACAGGATTTACTTTGGTTGAGTTCACGGTGTGTGTTGCTCCAAGCTTCTTGGAGTTCTCCAGCTTTTTGTCATCGACATCAACTGCAATAACTTGGCGAGCTCCAAACGCTCGAGCTAACTGCAAGCAGCTGTTCCAACCGTTGTTAAGAAGATCGTGAACAAAAATAAGTTCTCTTTGTGCAGCAAACCTGGATCCAACACCACCGATGCCAATCACGGATACGGTTTCGCCAGCACGTAAGTTGGCTGCATTCTTCACGGCTCCATAAGCTGTAAAAACTGCACATCCCATTATCGCTGCGTCCGAGTAAGGCAGAGTAGAAGGTAGGACTGCTAATGCGTTGGAGGGAACTACACAATACTCGGCCATGCCTCCCATGCTGTACATATGAATCGGCTTTCCTGCACGAGAAAAAACCAAGAAAATCAGGAGAGCAAAGAAGCGATTTTTTCAAACCATTGCTCGCAATGAATAATCGAGTCTGTCCATCATAAAGAGCTCCTTTGCCTCTACTATACTTAAAGAAAGTCTCGCAGAGATCTTCTTGTCCCTGGAGTTATATGTTAGAATACGGGAATTCTAGCTAAAACTCTTCACTTGCCTTGACGCAGTAGAAGCATCCTCCACAAGGCATGATGAATGCTCCGACAGCTCGTGCACCGATCGGGAGCCTGGATTTCGCAGCTTAAAAATCACTGAATCACTGACACTAAAAGAGTCACCTCTTTTAAGTTTCGCTAGAATACCTTTGTAGTGTAGCAGCATCCGTGTGTGGACCGTGCTCCATGATCTCTCCAGTCACTTCATGGCCGAGAACTACTGGCAAGGGGAACGGCTGATCCTTCTTGATGATGTGCAAATCCGAGTGGCAAACTCCACAAGCTGCCCGATCCATGGAAATTTAGATCGATCGATCCAAACAATCCACATACCTTTCGTCTTGAGCAGCACCTCTCCAAATTTCGGCCGAGGCATTTGCATATCCTCCAGCGTCATCGGCTTGCCGGGCTCCCACAGCACCGCGGCTCTCATTGTCGACGCCGTCCCGGCGGCTGTGAACTCTCGGCCATCGAGCGAAGGCGATGGCGCTAGCGTTGGCGCCGCCACTGCCGATCCGGATTCATAGCGGCAGCCCTGGAAATTTGAGAACCTAAGGAGCAGCGATCTAAACCCTCGGCGCCCTTGGAGCATTGCTTCCTTCCAGTGTGGATCGAAGCTGGCGCTTTCTTATCCAAATTGGTCTTTGGATCGAATCCCTTTAACTGAAATAATCTGGAAAACGAATATTCACTGGATGGAATGAAATATTCGTTGTTTTATATTACTTTTGCCCTACACTAGAAACAGGAGGAGAGTCGTGAACGAATTTACACACGCGGACGTCGTCAATCATGAGGGATTTGTCGCGGGAGCTAGTCATCGATCACAGGTATTGCGTGATTGCGCGACGCTGGATGATCGATCGCTGTCACAGATTACGAGGTTCTTGCGCCGGATTTCTTGGATCTCTTCTTCGTCGATGGAAGGCAAGGAGCCCGGATCCAGGGCATGGAGGCCAGCGCTGGGATTGCCGGCGATCTTCCAGCTCGCGCTCGCGATCTTCACCGTGTGCTTCTTGATCCAGCAGCTGCGGCCGCCGCCGAGCAATGCGAGCTACGATCGAGCGATGGATCGCCGGCGCGAGCGAGGGCAAGATCAAGATCAAGAAGATCAAGAAACGCGGCTGAGCAATATCCTCTTTGGGATCGGGGCGGCGTCGAGCGTTCTTGAGAGGAGGAAAGATTTCATCAAGGCGTGGTGGAGGCCCGGCCAGACTCGCGGATTCGTCTTCGTGGATCAGCCGCCGCCGCTAGCCGAGTCTTTCTGGGACAATTCCTCGCTCCCGGAGCTCCGGATCTCGGAGAGCACCGCGCGATTCAGGTACACATTCCCGAGAGGGCGGCGATCCGCCATCCGGATCTCCAGGATCGTCTCGGAGATGTTTCGGATGGGGCTGCCCGGCGTGAGATGGTTCGTTCTTGGCGACGATGACACGGTCTTCTTCGTTGACAATCTCGCCCGCGTGCTCGCGAAGTATGACCACACCAAGTTCTTCTACGTGGGATCCAGCTCCGAGAACCATCTCCAAAACGTGAGAGGCTTCTCGTCCTTCATGGCCTATGGAGGAGGGGGATTCGCAATAAGCTACGCGCTGGCCGAGGCGCTCGCAGCGATGCAAGACGATTGCCTCGAGAGGTACCACTTTCTCTACGGGAGCGATGATCGGATCCAGGCTTGCATGGCCGAGCTGGGCGTGCAGCTCACTCGAGAGCCCGGATTCCACCAGGTAAAACTCTCTCAATCGTGTTCTCTCTTCCTCGATCGTCTAAAGTTTGTTCTTTTGCTGCTCGTTCTTCCAGCTCGATGTTTTGGGCGATGCTTCTGGGCTTCTAGCAGCTCATCCCATCGCTCCAGCGCTCTCTCTACACCATCTCAACGTCATCCATCCGCTCTTCCCCAATGCAACGCAGCGGCAGTCCATCAATCGCCTCTTCTCGGCGGCAAGGATCGACCCGGCGGGGATCTTCCAGCAGTCGATTTGCTACGACAGACACAGGAACTTTTCGATCCAGGTATCGTGGGGCTACCTCGTACAAGTTAGCCAGGAACTTATCTCTCCCAGGATCCTGGAGCTCCCGCTGAGAACTTTCGTGGGGTGGTATGGCGAGAGAAGTGAGCTGAGCTTCCCGTTCAAGACGAGGGCCCTGCCGGTGGATCTCTGCCAGAGGCCCGTGAGGTTCTACATGGAATCCGTGAAGAGCAGCAGCAATGGCAGTGGAATCTCTGTGAGCAATTACGTCAAGAGTGAGGCGCCGGCGGCCGCGGCTTGCTCGAGCTGGCTTGGGATCGAGACGATCTTGGTGGACAAGGAAGCAAGCGATGAATCGTGGTACAAGGTATGTGTTCTTCATTACTATATCGATCAAAGTTGGCTGATGATCTGGATAAAAAACTTTCTAGGCACTGAGGAGGCAGTGCTGCAAAATTCTTGAATCGAGAGAGGGAGGAGGAGTTGTTCGTCTAGAGATTCGTCAGTGTAGCTAGTTCAGGATTTGAGACTAAACTGTAAATTACGCTGAGAAAGAATTTAGTCAAGAGATTTACAAAGGCTTTCAGTCCCCGCAAAAGATTTTGACTGGTGAGAGTGTGCTTTCTCTTTTGGAGCTGTTATGATCAGTTTTTACACCGGAGTCGTGCTTGGCGATCGAACGCTGGGTATGCTGGAAAGATCGAGAGAAATGTGGTGGATAGCCATTCTTGCAGCATTTGCCCACAAGCGGCATTTTTATCTCGTCGGTGCGCTGCTTAGCAAAATGCCAGTAAAGCTTTGAGTATTTGCCTCGCTGGGAAGGGTTCTCTGCCAATCGCCCAAGGGAGAAAGTTGGATTGACTCGCGAGGCTATTACTCCCGAGGCTCAAAGCGATTATCAGGTAGTGTTTCCTTGTTTCATGAGGAGGAGATTAAAGTTCCCGCGCTATAAATACCTTGCCACCTTTTGTGTTGCTTTCGTCACGGGGCTTGGCGATGGCGGAGGCCTCTGGGCTTGGGCCGTGCGAGCTGGGCGGCGACTTCACCTTCGAGCGCAAGCACGGTGGCCAGCGATCCTGGACGGACGACGATGGTCTCGGCGGCTCGGCGTTTGGTGATGGCCACCACCGCGATCGAGGCGACGACGATCTTCTCTGGGCCGCCCTGGAGAAGCTCCCAACTTATCGCCGGCTTCGCACGACTCTCCTGGAAGAACTCGAGGCTGGAGATCAAGATCAAGGTATGTTGCTTTAGATCTTACTCTCTCGAGACGATCCAATAGAGCTTAAACTTTTCTCCAGGATCGACCAAGCACGTCATGGACGTGAGCAGCTTGACCCGGATGGAGAGGCAGAGGATCATCGAGAGAGCCTTCGCCACCACGGACCAAGACAACGAAACGCTGGTGGCGAGGCTGCGAGAGAGAATCCAGGCGGTGGGAGTGCAAATCCCGCGAGTGGAGGTCCGCTTCCAGAACCTCCGCGTCTCCGCCGACGCCTACGTCGGATCCAGAGCCCTCCCAACGCTCGTTAACTTCGTGAGGAACATCACCGAGGGCCTCCTAGCAGCGTCCGGGGTCCTGGCCTCGAAAAAACGCGAGATCCACATCCTGAAAGACGTGAGCGGGGTGGTGAAGCCGGGAAGGACGATGCTGCTGCTGGGGCCTCCCGGATCCGGCAAGTCGACGCTCCTGCGAGCTCTTGCCGGGAAGCTGGATCAAAGCCTCAAGACCACCGGAGCCGTCACTTACAATGGCCACACCTTGGACGAGTTCGAAGCTCGGAGAACTTCCTCGTACATTAGCCAGGAGGACGATCACATCGGCGAGCTTACGGTCCGCGAGACGCTCGACTTTGCTGCTCGCTGCCAGGGAGTTGGATTCACGATAGATCTACTGATGGAGCTGCTGCGGCGGGAGAAGCGCGAGAACATCCGGCCGGATCCATGCATCGACGCGTTCATGAAGCTGGCGGCGGTGGAGGGCGCGCGGCACAGCGTCCGGACGAACTACGTGATGAAAGTCCTGGGCCTGGAGATCTGCGCGGACACGGTGGTGGGGAGCGACATGCTGCGCGGCGTCTCGGGCGGGCAGAAGAAGCGCGTCACCACCGGGGAGATGATCGTCGGGCCCAAGAAGACGCTCTTCATGGACGAGATCTCCACGGGGCTGGACAGCTCCACCACCTTTCAGATCGTCAGGTGCGTCCGCAACTTCGCGCACTCGCTCGAGGGGACGGTGCTCATGGCGCTGCTTCAGCCACCTCCGGAAACATTCGAGCTCTTCGACGACGTCCTGCTCCTCGCCGAGGGTCACATCGTCTACCTCGGCCCCCGCGAGCACATCCTCGACTTCTTCGCGAGCTTGGGCTTCCAGCTCCCGCCCCGCAAGGCCATCGCGGACTTCCTCCAGGAGGTGACGTCCCGGAAGGATCAGCAGCAGTACTGGGCGGACGAGACACGGCCTTACAGCTACGTCCCGGTCGCCACCATCGCCAGGGCATTCAAAGGCTACGAAGTTGGCAAAGACCTCGGACTCCACCTCGGGTCCCCGTTCGAGAAGGAGTCCGGCCACCCCGCCGCGCTCACGACGACCAAGTATGGAATCCCGCGCTGGGAGATGTTCAAGGCGTGCACCGAGCGCGAGTGGCTTCTCATCAAGCGCAACCGGTTCCTCTACACTTTCCGGACTGCGCAGGTCGCGTTCATGGCGTTCGTGGCCGGGACCTTGTTCTTGCGGACGAGGATCCATCCGGACAGTGAGAGCGATGGAAATCTCTACCTCGCCACGCTCTTCTACGCGCTGGTCCACATGATGTTCAATGGTTTCTCGGAGATGGCGATCACGGTTCATCGGCTGCCAGTGTTCTACAAGCAGCGGGACAACCTCTTCTTTCCCGGCTGGGCGTTTTCGCTCCCAAGCTGGCTGCTCCGGATACCATACTCGGTGATCGAGGGAGTGATATGGTCGTGTATTGTCTACTACACGGTCGGATTGGATCCACAGCCGCAGAGGTTCTTCCGGTATATGTTCTTGCTGGTTCTCATGCACCAGATGGCTCTCGCGATGTTTCGCTTCATCGGTGCCGTGGGGAGGAACATGATCGTCGCCAACACGTTTGGATCATTTGGGATTCTTATTGTTTTCCTCCTCGGGGGCTTCGTGATCGATAGAACTCACATACCAGGGTGGTGGATCTGGGCTTATTGGCTCTCGCCGCTCTCGTACGCCGAGAACGCGCTGGCCGTGAACGAGTTTGGAGCTTCGCGGTGGGATAAGTCCGTGCATGGTGACGACGGAAAGCTCTACGTGAAGATCTTGAAGCCGAGGGGCCTCTTTGTGGAGAGTTACTGGTATTGGATCGGGATTGCGGTGCTGGTCGGGTATATAGTTTTGCTCCAGCTGCTGGGAACGCTCGCTCTCTCGTATCTCAATCCTCTCCGGAAGCCTCAGGCCGTGGTCTCGGAGGAAAGTTTGCGAGAGATGGCGGACAATGACGCGGAAGTTCGTGAGAGTCCAGTAGCGATCGAGGTTTTGCCAGTATCGAATGGAGGAGGAGGAGTGACGAAAGGGATGATCCTGCCGTTCCAGCCGCTGGCACTAACTTTCCAGAAGGTTTGCTACTTCGTGGACGTTCCGGCCGAGATGAGAGCCCAGGGAGTGACCGAGGACAGGCTCCAGCTTCTCCGGGACGTGAGCGGAGCTTTCAGGCCGGGGGTTCTTACAGCGCTCGTCGGCGTGAGTGGAGCCGGCAAGACGACTCTCATGGACGTTCTTGCGGGAAGGAAAACCGGGGGATACATCCAGGGCGACGTGAGGGTCTCCGGGTTTCCAAAGCTCCAGAAAACTTTCGCGAGGATCTCCGGCTACGTGGAACAAACGGACATACATTCCCCACAGGTGACCGTCTACGAATCGCTCGTTTACTCCGCGTGGCTGCGACTCCCGGCCGAGGTGGACGCCGCCACCCGCTATTCGTTCGTGGAGAAAGTCATGGAGCTGGTTGAGCTTGGCAACTTGAGAAACGCCCTCCTGGGACTTCCAGGGACGTCGGGGCTGTCCACCGAGCAACGCAAGAGGCTGACCATCGCCGTGGAGCTCGTTGCCAACCCCTCGATTATCTTCTTGGACGAGCCAACGTCGGGTCTGGACGCTCGAGCAGCTGCGATCGTGATGAGAACCGTGAGAAACACGGTGGACACCGGAAGAACAGTGGTTTGCACCATCCACCAGCCGAGCATCGATATCTTCGAGTCGTTCGACGAGCTCCTGCTGATGACTCGCGGGGGCCGAGCCATCTACGTCGGCCCGCTGGGACTCCACTCCAAAACCATGATCGACTACTTCCAGTCTATTCCAGGAGTTCCTCCGCTGCGAGAAGGCTACAATCCAGCGACCTGGATGCTCGAAGTCACGAGCCCCTCGGCGGAGCTCCGGCTAGGCCAAGCCTTCGCGGACATCTTCCAGAACTCCATGCAGTACCAAAACAACGAGAAGTTGATCGAGTCACTGAGCTCTCCAGCTCCAGGATCCAAGGATCTCGAGTTCCCGACCAAGTACTCCCTGGACTTTTGGAGCCAGTGCCGGGCTTGCCTGTGGAAGCAGCACTTGACGTACTGGAGGAACCCATACTACAACGTTGTCCGGCTCTTCTTCACGCTCGTCTGCGCGCTCATCTTCGGCTCAATCTTCTGGGGCGTGGGGAGGCACCGTGAGACGCAGCAGGACGTTTTCAACGCCATGGGAGTCTTGTTCGCGGCGGTGGTGTTCCTGGGAGTAAACAACGCGTCCAGCGTCCAGCCGGTGGTGTCCGTGGAGAGGACCGTGTTCTACAGGGAGAGGGCAGCGGGGATGTACTCGCCGCTGCCTTACGCATTCGCGCAGGGGGCGATCGAGCTCCCATACATCTTCGTCCAGACGCTCCTCTACGGCGTGGTCACGTACGGCATGGTCCAGTTTGAGCTCTTGCTCGTCAAGTTCCTGTGGTATCTCTTCTTCATGTTCGTCACCTTGGCGTACTTCACGTTATACGGGATGATGGCAGTGGGGCTTACACCATCACAGCAGCTGGCCTCGGTGGTTTCCTCGGCCTTCTACTCGCTCTGGAACTTGTTCTCTGGGTTCTTCATACCCAAGAGGAGGATCCCCGGGTGGTGGCTGTGGTTTTACTACTTGAACCCGGTCAGCTGGACGATCTATGGGCTGACGGTGTCGCAGCTCGGGGATGTGGAGGACGAGATTGGAGTTGGAGATGGATTGGAAACGATGAGCGTCAAGGAGTTTCTGGAGCGATACTTCGGGTTTGAGGAGGGATTTGTGGGAGTTTGCGCGATGGTGATTTTGGGGTTTATGCTGCTCTTCTGGCTCGTCTTTGCGTTCTCCATCAAATTCATCAACTTCCAGAGGCGATAGATTTCATATAAGGATGAAGTCTACTTCTCTATTGTTTCAACACAGTTAAGATTTCACAACACCCATTTTATAAGAATAGCTAGAAACTCCAAATTTTGCGGGAAGAGGTGAGATACAACCATGATAAAGTCGTGGCAACGCAAAGAAGCACAGGAGTCAAGTTTGAGTATTGACGCATAGTCAGCCTCTCGCTTCTAGTACGACGAGACCGCCAGCTCACTAGACTGGACGCATGTTAGTGGGGATGCGCAGGATTTCATTTTCCAGCTAAAGAAGCCACCACCATGTATCTATCTGTCTTAATATTGCCTCACAGTCTCATAACCTCCTGCTTTCACACACCAAAGTCCACCACTTTTACGTTTTTTCTCCCAAGCAAACGTTGCCTTCTTGATCAACAATGAACCTCATGCTCGCTCAAGTATATTCTGTGACTTGCAAGCAAACAATCGCCCGTCAGGCTTGCGTTTCTACTCAGCTCCCCTTTCACCCAGTAAAGATCCTTTTAAGATTGCTCCATTTATTCCTATACGGAAATCTGACCTTTTTTCCTTTCTCCCCTATAAAATCCATTGAAAGAAATAGGTCTAAACATTGTTCCCGGATGGATAGATATGACTATAGCACGCAGTCACCTCTCCTTGGACAAGGTACTGATGGAGTAGTTCGTCTCGCTCGCAACAGGGTCACTGGAGCCATGGTTGCAGTGAAGAAGCTCTCAAGCAAACATGATGCAGCCGACATGATGTGGGAGTGCGCAACTCTCCGGGCATGCCAACACAAGAACATCATCCATCTGCACTCTAAGCTCGTGACCGAGCAAGGCCTTTTCATGGTGTTTGAGCTCATGGACATGGACTTGTGCTCGTACATATGGGACGTGAGAGAGAGAGAAGGGAAAATCCCAGAGGTTGCGGTGAGGTCCATTATGAAGCAGATCCTGGAAGCCCTCGCCTTTGTTCATTCTAAAGGCCTAATCCATAGAGACGTCAAGAGCTCTAACGTTTTAATCAACCACAACAAGAATCTTAACAACAGCGTTGTGATCAAGCTCATTGATTTCTCTCGTGTATGCTTTGCGAGTGCGGGCAGTTGCAAGAACATGGGAAATGTATACTACAGAGCTCCAGAGCTTCTCTTGGGTGGTGAGAAGTATATTTATGGCCGGGAGATTGATATATGGGCGGCCGGATGCATCTTCCTTGAGTTACTAACGGGATTCCCTTTTGGCGATGACGATGGAAACTTCCCTCCAAACAGTGAACTCGACGTGATGAACAGTATCGTGAAATGGATCGGACCAGTGGACGAGACGACTTGGAAAGGAGTGAACAAGCTTGAAAATTATAACACGTACAAATCAAGCTTTCCAAGGAATCCATCAAACTTGCTACAGTCTAGGCTTGGGGACTCACCTGCGTATGACCTGCTTAGGAAGATGTTGTGTTTGAATCCCAGGGAGAGGATCACTGCTAAAGAGGCATTGGAGTCAGATTATTTTAAAACTAGTGTATGGTCTCGGGTTTCTAAGTTTCTTTACTCTATTTTTTGTACAAGACTCAACCTCTTTGCATAATATGTAACCTTCTCTTGCGCTGGAGAATAAAAAAAGGCTGTACTTTTTAAACATCTTTAGAAGCATACTGCATTTTCTTTATGCGGCCAATAATACTCTTGCAGCTTCTGAGTGAGGAATAATTATTAACATGCTCACCTTTGGGGCAAGCTTGAAAAGTCAAACTACACTTCTACAGTCTACGCTTGGGGACTCACTTGCGTTTGATCTCATGAGCCAAGGAGAGAATCACTGCTAAAGAGGCATTGGAGTCAGATTACTTTAAGACTGCTAAAGTTTCTCTTCCAGAATTTGAGCGAACGTTGATAAAGCATTTTTTTCAAACTGGAGTCTAGAAAGTTATTACCTTTTAAAGAGATGATGTTCAAACTAGCACTTAGCTGGAGGGTCTTCATGTTGGAGTTCAATCTGTCTAGCATGCATTCTATTTTTATAGTTTTCGTGCTTGACCTCTTCAATCTACAACTTAAGAATACTGCTCTTAAAAGCTCCCAGTGTCCAAAGCTTGAGTTATGGCCCTAAGGACAACATTTGTAAAACAAGTTTAACACAAGACATTTCTATCTACCACATGTGATTAGTGTATAATAAAGTTTTTTGGTATATATCTGAATACACTTGATATTTTGAGACATTTAACAATAAAACAAAGCTGTTTAATCCTCAAGAGATTCTACAGCCATGAAATGGTACTGGCTTGATCTTTATATGAGCTTTTTCAGTGCGAGGGTATATCCTTATAAATTTAAATTGAATTAGAATTTTCCAATTGTACCAGCCACTTACAAAGGCACCAGACTTTATTATACACTGCATGTTACCCCTCTTGTGCATAAGAAAGAATATGTTCTTCTTTTCAATAAGCAAAAAATTTAAATCATGTTAATGTCTATGCAAGGCCTTACATAGCACTAAGGCATGCCTTTTTCAGAAAATATCAAGCTGACCACAACTCATAAAAAACTTGAAGTCCATTTATTATGCAATTTTGTAACATTTAAGATCCAACCTGAACTCTTATGTGGCCTCTGACACAATTAAATAGCTTAACAACTTTATTAAATATGTGCTAACAATGCAAAGCAACTCAGGTGAGGAATAAAAGAGAGTAACACATTCCCGAGGAATTTAAACACATCCCATTGGTGCCTCAAGATGGGCACTGCAAGATACATTTTTACACCAGTAGAACATGCTCCACAACACTTTGTGTGAACACATGAGTGTTATTCCAACAAGATCATAGGGGATACCAGTTATTGCAGCATTGCAAGTCAATGGACGAGATGATCATTCAGCAATGTCAACACCATCTTCAAAAATCTCATTGCCCTCCATGTCAAAAATCTGAGTAGAGGCACCAGGGCAGCCCCATCCACAGCAACCAGATGGTGTTTTCTGACGGCATCTTTCCAGGCCCCCCCCGGACCCCATAGCAGCAGCCAGTAGAACATTGCGAACTATAATTACATGCCATTGCAGTGGGCAGTAGCATAAGTGCTATCACAAACAGAACAAAGAAAGCCCCAATCTTCATAGCTTTGAGAAAACCTTATCCTCACTTGCTACTAGATGAGCAGGGGGACATCTTATAGTCCAAGCCACTGAAAAAAGACCACTACGAGCTCGATTTGCTTGATTTCATGATTAAATCTAAATCAAAATATATAAAGGTTTTCCATAAATCATGCTCAAGTAAACACAAAATATTTCGTATATTCTTGTGTCATCATTGTGCCACGCGGCGGTCTATTTTACGAAATCCGCGTCTTTCTTGGGTAAAGTCCAATGTCGCGTCCTTTGCTCCGCTAGGGATTCCTTTGGCGTGGAGGGACGGCACCAAATTTCTTCTCCCATCTAGAGTCGCCATTGAGCTTGGATTCGCTACTGCAATGTCCACGATCACAGTGCCGCCGATGCTTCCCCCCGTCCAGCAAGATTGCCAGGCCTTGCATCACGCTTTCAAAGGTGGGATCGATCGCTCGCGATCACCAAGATCACAGATGTAACTCTTCTTCTTTCCGCCAGGATTTGGATGCGATGAGAAGCACGTCATACAAATTCTGGCGCACAGGAATTACTTGCAGCGGAGAGAGCTGGTAAACGCTTACAGAAGCATGTATGGAGAGGATCTCTTGCGAAGACTGGAGAAAGAGCTCCACGGGAATCTCGAGGTGAGTTTAGTTTCTCAAGAACTTCGTGTGCGAATATTAAAATCTATGTTCCAGCAAGCAGTGCTGCTGTGGATGATGGAGCCAGCTGAAAGGGACGCGGTGTTAATCAGAGATGCGATGAAAGGACTGGGTACCAAAGATAAGACGCTGATCGAGATCATCTGCTCGAGAACTCCCTCGCAGCTCTACTACATACGCCAGGCATATCAAACCAAGTATCATCGCTCCCTGGACAAAGACATTCAATCAGACACAAGTGGTGACTATAGAAAGGTGAGAAGAATACGAAAATCTCTTACCTCCATCGATCAAACGAGTTTTCACGAGCTTGTTCTTTGTCTTTGATTTTGCAGTTGCTCCTGGCCTTTGCGAGTGGACAGCGGCCAGAGGGGCCTCACGTAGACATGCATTTAGCTGACGCCGACGCGAGAGAGTTGTATAGAGCTGGAGAAGGAAGGGTTGGCACAGACGAGTCGACTTTCATTCGCGTTTTCTCGACGAGGAGTGCCGCGCAGCTCCACGCCGCATTCGCAGCCTACAAACACCTGTACAAGCGCGACATTGACAAAGTAAGCATCTATCCAGTGTCCAGAAAGCTGCCTAGTTCTTAAAGTTGGAAGGAAGGAAAGTGAAAACTTACTTTTGCTGGTAGGCCATAAAGCGAGAAACTTCCGGGGACTTTGAAGATGCTCTCAGGCTGATCGTTAAGTCCGCAACAAGGCCTGGACGATACTTCGCCAAGGTTTGTCACATTTTTTTCTTGCTTCCGTTCTTCCTTCGAAACTTACGCGTATTCTCTAGGTTTTGTATGACTCGATGAAACGTATGGGAACCGACGATTCGACGCTGATTAGAGTGGTCGTCACCAGGGCCGAGCAGGATATGCAGTACATCAAGGCGGATTTCTACCAAAAGTACAAGAAGCCATTAGAATCAATGATCTCGGGTGACACTTCTGGAAACTACAAACACTTCTTGCTCAGCCTCGTCGGGGGGCACTGACGGGTCAATAGCCTGTAAATACGGCGCGTGAATTGGATTTTTTTTTCTTCTAGAAAGACTAAAACTTAGGAAGAGTACCTCAAAAAAATCGTAGAAATTATCCTCAGAGAGAACACAGCCAAGATTCTCGGTCACCAGACGCTGTAAAATCTGTTTCCGAGAAGCTGGTGCTCGAGAGGCGTGAGACACGCTGATGTAAGTTTCCAGATTGTGTATAGTACCATCTACAACACAACATTGTTGTTACGTCTTTGTTTACGATGAAAGAACTTAAACTAAGTACCTTGCGACACAATGCATTCGTAATCTGGCGGAGCGGCCAGCCAACCCCCATCACTGGTTTTCATATGTCTTCTATCTGATGCGAAGTATCTTAAGAAATTGTGAGCAGAAACAACTCTGAAAAGCCTGTGACAAAAACAAAGAAACATGAGCACGATATCCAATTAAAACAAGGAGTGTTTCTTACCTTTCGAGCAAGTGTTTCTTCACAACTGGTGGCTTGAGAGCTTCATTGACGTAGGAACTAAAAGCAACGGGAAGTCCAAGGGATGTATCCAAATCCCAAACACTGGCTTCATCGGGTGTGGAGGATGAAAATCTCTTCTAGGAAAATTTTTTCTCGCAAAGAGTCAGAGAAAGCTTGTAATCCAAGAGCTAGCAGACCTGGATGCAAATGACGTGGTAGTCCCAAACACAAAATCCATTATCGCGGCTGCTGTTCTTCTGGCACCAAATTGGAAACTGGAAATACAGCAAAAGAAAATGAGAAGAACTGAGATGAAAAGCCTCTACTGCTGCGAAAATCAGCACCAGCCTGTTTATCAGCGCTGAGGAGGAAGACAACGAAGAGATCCGAGGCATCTGGCAGCGCGATGTTGAGCTCCACCAGAGCCTTGCAAAGCAAGAACACATTCTCCTCACTGAGAACCACGGATAAGTGAGATGATCGTCGCGATCGGATCCAATCCATACCAGTAGCAAGAAGTGTAGACGAGCGCCTTCCTCGCATCCATAGCTCCTCGCATTCTTCGAAATATTTCTCCCAAGCCCTAAGACCAAGATTCGGGAATATGCATAGCTCACTCCACGTGTCATTCACGTCGGAGAACTTGTCCACGTCACTCCAGGGCTTTCTTTCTTTTCTGGCGCCCTGTTCTTCGCTTGTCTTGCACTGCCAGCGAAGGCGCAACTATTCATGCTCTCCACCACCGCCATTTTGGTTGCTCCACAGTGACCTAGATCGTCGCAGGGGAATGGGCGCGCCAGTCTTCGCCGCCGCGATTTCGATCGCCTTGCTCGCGGCCAGCGCCAGCGGCGATTTCCTGGTAGGATTGGGGAGCTACGATGTCACAGGGCCGGCGGCGGATGTAAATATGATGGGCTACGCCGATCCCTCGCAGAATGCCGCTGGAATCCATCTCCGCCTCAGGGCGCGGAGCTTCATCGTGGCGGAATCCGGCGCGGATGGGAGGCGAGTAGCGTTTGTGAACGTGGATTCGTGCATGGGATCGCAAGCGATCACGCTCAAAGTTCTTTCCAAGCTCAAGGACAGGTAAATATTTGTTTCTCTTCCACGATCGTGAGTGAGTTCTTCACTCTTTCTTTTGTGTGAGAGGAGGTATGGAGACACCTACAGTGAGAAGAATGTGATCATCAGTGGCATTCACACGCACTCTGGCCCTGGCGGCTACTTACAATACGTTCTCTACATTGTCACCTCCATCGGGTTCGTCAAGCAATCTTTCAACGCTCTCGTGGATGGGATTTTCAGCAGCATTGTCCAGGCTCACGAGAATTTGAGGCCTGGTTCCATCTTACTCAATGAAGGTTAGAGATGGTGATCTCTCGATTCTAAAGTTTACTTCTCTCCAGGTGAGCTTTTGGATGCAAATATTAATCGTAGTCCCAGCGCGTATCTCAACAATCCCGTGGAAGAAAGGAAACGATACAAGTATAATGTTGACAAGAACATGGTGCTCCTCAAGTTTTTGGACAGCAAACGAGCTCCGATCGGCGCTTTCAGCTGGTTTCCAGTCCATTGTACGTCGATGAATCGGACCAACGAGCTTATAAGTGGTGACAACAAAGGTGCCGCTGCGCATTTCATGGAAGCTTGGTTTGACAAACAGCTAGAACAAGAAGGTACTGAGGTTAGATCTTAGTTTTTCCTTTGCTCGTTTCTAGTTCTTTCACCGTTTCTTAGAACCAGGAAACTTGACTGAATTACAGATCCAACCATTGAAATGCTTGGAAAACCAGGTTGGACGATGAATGCTAGTGTTACCATTCGCAACAGGCGGAGGCTTGTTGGTGATTCCAGCTCGCCTTTCATCGCTGCGTTCTCTCAGAGCAACGAGGGAGACGTCTCTCCAAACACTCTGGGGGCCTTTTGCGCTGATAGTACCGTGGCTTGTGAGTTCAACCATAGCACCTGTGATGGACGGAACGAGCAGTGCATTGGTCGTGGTCCTGGGTATGTAAAGTGGTTGTTTGTTTGTTGGTTTCATGGTTCCCGAAGTTTTCAAGTTTCTCACGCGATGACTTTGCAGATACCCGGACCACTTTGCGAGCACTAAGATCATTGCTCAAAAACAGCTCCAGAAAGCAATAGAGCTATTCCGAAGCGCGAAAGAACAGGTGGTAGGACGAGTGAATTACAAGCAAACTTTCGTCGATTTCACTCGTCTTAAAGTAACTCTCACCGCTGCAAACGGAACGACGTCAACGGTCACGACTTGTCCGGCTGCTGTTGGTTTTAGCTTCGCAGCAGGCACGACTGACGGTCCTGGAGCTTTCGATTTTACACAAGGCGATACCAAGGTAGTACCTTAAAAACTTTTCCATAGTTTTCACTCTCTCACACTCGAGGCAGGGAAATGCGTTTTGGCGAATAGTTCGAGCGGCGCTGAAAACGCCAAACAAAGCACAGGTCGATTGTCAGTATCCAAAGCCAATTTTGATCGACACGGGCGAGATGACATTTCCATATGACTGGGCTGTAAGTCTTCTCTTGATGTCGTTCGTGGTTTTTTACTTCCTGTCTGGTTTTTTCAGCCTTCAGTTCTTCCGATCCAAATCTCGCAGATCGGCCAACTTATCATCCTCTCGGTGCCTGCAGGTAGCTTGTTTTATTCTGTTTTGCGTGTTCGTGTTCCATTTACGTTTGTCTTCCAGAGTTTAGTACCATGGCAGGACGACGATTGAGAGATGCCGTCAAAGAAACTCTCATCGCTAAAGGCCGTGGCCAATTTGGTCCGAAAACTCGCGTCGTCATCGCTGGCCTCTCCAACGATTACTCTCAGTACGTGACCACTTTCGAGGAGTATCAAATCCAGCGTTACGAGGTTGGTCTCTTTTCTCTTGTTTCTTTGTTCCTGACTCCATCGATCGATCCTCAGGGTGCCTCGACGCTGTTTGGTCCTCACACTCTGAGCGGATATCTCCAAGAATTCCGGAAGCTCGCGATCGCTCTAGCCGAGAACAGTAACGTCGACTCCGGGCCATCTCCGCCGGACCTTCTTGACAAGCAGCTAGAGCTTCTCCCACCCGTGGTGATGGATACGACTCCAGTCGGTGTCGACTTTGGCGATGCCAAGAACAACGTAAAGAGAGGCGCGAGTTACCGACCTGGGGACGTTGTGGAGGTGGTCTTCTGGACGGGCTGCCCAAGGAACGATTTGCTCACGGAGAAAAGCTTTAGCTCCGTGGAGATCGAGCAAAGCGATGGCTCCTGGCGATCGCTCTACGATGACAATGACTGGAGCGTGAGATTCCTGTGGAGGAGGCCGTCGTCGCTGAGCTCCAGGAGCTACGCAACGATTAGATGGGAGATACCCCAGGAAGTAAAGGCAGGGACTTACCGGATCTCGCATTTTGGAGCGAGCAAGAGCTTGTTTGGAAGCGTGAGGCCTTTCTCTGGAAGCTCCAACTCTTTCCAAGTGAAATTGTAAGCCGAGAACCCTAAAATTTCGCGAAGAGCCCTAAACTTTGGCAAAGAACCCTGAAAACAGAGGAGCGCAAAAATAATTTTTAATTGGAGCTTTAGGTCAACCTTGTTATCGGCAATTTTTCCTTTCTTTACTACTCTGGGCATGGCGGATCGAGCTTGGCCGCCATTGTTCGTCATTGCCGTGGAGATCCTGCTGCTCGCGCTCTTCTGCGGAGCGAGCGCCGGCGATCGGGATCCCAGCTACAGGTATGCGCCATTGGGATAGGGAAATTTTGCGTGGAAATTCCAGTCGCTCCGCAAGGGCGCTCATTGTCCCCGCCATGCTTTCTTTGACGCAGGGATTGCGTGGAGTCGTGCCAGAGCAGCGGCTGCATCGGGGATCTGTGCTTCTCATCGTGCAATGCGTCCACATTCTCTGGAAAGAAAGAGGAGGAGCCGATCTATTTGAGCATCACACGATGGGATTGTCCGAGCGAGTGTCGCTACCAATGCATGACCCGGCGAGAAGATGAAAGAGCTCTGGCCGGAGGGAAGCCTGTCAAGTATCACGGAAAGTGGCCGTTTGATCGAATTTATGGTGTCCAGGTACGTAAGTTTGTTGTTCTTTCTTTCCTTTCGTGTTCCATCACTGTGCTGAGCTTCTTCTCTTTTTTTTTTTTCCACTTCTAGGAACCCGCTGCCGTGTTCTTCTCGCTACTTAATCTCTTCGCTCACGTCTGGGGTCTCGGATCCTTCCTCTCCACTGTGTACTACGAGCTTCCTCGAGGAAGAAAAGGACCATACTACGAATTCGTGGGACTCTGGACGGTGTATGGGCTGCTTTCGATACATTCCTGGTTTTGGAGCGTGGTCTTTCATACAAGGTGTGGAACTTGGACTTGTTTCTTTCTTTTGTTCTTTAAGCTCGATGGATTGCTTCCTTTGCTCAGAGACACGCCAGTTCACGAGAGCTGGGACTACTCCTCAGCCGTGGCCACGCTTGGCTTCTCGCTCATCTTGGCCATCACTAGAACACTGAGCATCAAAACCGAGGCGGCTCGAGTCATGGTCTCCGCGCCGTGCATTGGTTTCATAGCGACTCACATTTGCTACCTCAACTTTTACGAATTCGACTACGGTGAGATACTTTGTTGATACTTCCAAGACAACTAAGTTTTTCCTTTCATTTGTTTTGCCTAGGCTGGAACATGATCGTGTGCGTGGTGATGGGTCTAAGCCAACTTCTCTTCTGGCTGGTTTGGGCCATCGTCTCCAAGCATCCATCGAGATTAAAGGTATGGACTGTGGGACTGGGAACTTTGGGGGCGATGCTGCTCGAGCTATACGATTTTCCGCCGCTGGGAGGCCAGTTTGATGCTCACTCGCTGTGGCATTTGGGGACGATCCCTCTCACTTTTCTCTGGTGGAGCTTTGTCAAGGACGACGCCGTCGCGAGAACGTCAAGGCTCGTCAAGAGGAACCAAACCGTGAAGAAAGTAGAGTGAAGGAAATGGGCTGTATAGGATTTTTGTAAAATGGAATATGCTTTTCCAAAACCTTGTTTAACCCACCGGAATTAGATTCCTTTTGTTGTCCATTATACTTTATAAAGCAAGTTCTTAGATTGAAGATAATCTAACCCTTTAAATGTTAAAAATACTAACATTATTTGCGGATCCTGGAGAAAAAATTCGTAAAAGAGATTTTCGTCGCCAACAAACGATGAAACGTTTCTGTTGCTTTCAGTGCTCAAAAACTCCACCAGATTACGATCACAAGGTACAAAGACATAACGAGAATGTTGTGCTGTAGATGGTATTGTTCACAATCTGGAAACTTACATCAGCGTGGCTCACGCCTCTCAAGTACCAGCTTCTCGGAAGGTGATCTTACAGTGTCTGGTGATCGAGAATCTTGGCTGTGTTCTATTCTACGAACTTTTTGTCCTATGTTTTACTTTCTAGAAGAAAAAAAATCCCATTCACGCACTATGTATTTACAGGCTATTGACTTGTCAGTGCCCCCCGACGAGGCTGAGCAGGAAGTGTCTGTAGTTTCCAGAAGTGTCACCCGAGATCATTGATTCTAATGGCTTCTTGTACTTTTGGTAGAAATCCGCCTTGATGTACTGCATATCCTGCTCGGCCCTGGTGACGACCACTCTAATCAGCGTCGAGTCGTCGGTTCCCATACGTTTCATCGAGTCATACAAAACCTGGACGCAGAGAATACGCGTAAGTTTCGAAGGAAGAACGGAAGCAAGAAAAAAATGTGACAAACCTTGGCGAAGTATCGTCCAGGCCTTGTTACGGACTTAACGATCAGCCTGAGAGCATCTTCAAAGTCCCCGGAAGTTTCTCGCCTTATGGCCTACCAGCAAAAGTAAGTTTTCGCTTTCCTTCCTTCCAACTTTAAGGACTAGGCAGCTTTCTAGACACTGGATAGATGCTTACTTTGTCAATGTCGCGCTTGTACAGGTGTTTGTAGGCTGCGAATGCGGCGTGGAGCTGCGCGGCGCTCCTCGTTGAGAAAATGCGAATGAAAGTCGACTCGTCGGTGCCAAGCCTTCCTTCTCCAGCTCTATACAACTCTCTCGCGTCGGCGTCAGCTAAATGCATGTCTACGTGAGGCCACTCCGGCCGCTGTCCACTCGCGAAGGCCAAGAGCAGCTGCAAAATCAAAGACAAAGAACAAGCTCGTCAAAACTCGTTTGATCGATCGAGGTAAGAGATTTTCGTATTCTTCTCACCTTTCTATAGTCACCACTTGTGTCTGATTGAATGTCTTTGTCCAGGGAGCGATGATACTTGGTTTGATATGCCTGGCGTATGTAGTAGAGCTGCGAGGGAGTTCTCGAGCAGATGATCTCGATCAGCGTCTTATCTTTGGTACCCAGTCCTTTCATCGCATCTCTGAGTAACACCGCGTCCCTTTCAGCTGGCTCCATCATCCACAGCAGCACTGCTTGCTGGAAGATATATCAAAGATTTTAATCTTCGCACACTAAAACTAAACTCACCTCGAGCTTCCCGTGGAGTTCTTTCTCCAATCTTCGCAAGAGATCCTCTCCATACATGCTTCTGTAAGCGTTTACCAGCTCTCTCCGCTGCAAGTAATTCCTGTGCGCCAGAATTTGTATGACGTGCTTCTCATTGCATCCAAATCCTGGCGGAAAGAAGAAGAGTTACATCCGATGATCGCGAGCGATCGATCCCACCTTTGAAAGCGTGATGCAAGGCCTGGCAATCTTGCTGGACGGGGGGAAGCATCGGCGGCACTGTGATCGTGGACATTGCGGTAGCGAATCCAGTCGCAATTAGATGGGAGAAGAAATTTAGTGCCGCGCCGAAGGAATCCCTTGGAATTTATCCAAGAAGGACGCGCATTTAGTAAAATAGACTGCCGCGTGGACACTACATTAGACAGACGAATATACGAGAGATCTATGTGATCGTTTAGGACCATCTTCAAAAATCTCATTGAAAAAGGAATATCTTTCGAATATACTCAATTTAAGGCCACAATGCTGCGATAGCTCGCTTGCCCCGCACTGATCCAATCTGACTTACTTCTGGAAAGTGAACGTCCACCGGTGGGGCATCAAGCACACGTATTATATGACACAGCGGCACTGTATGTGGCGTCTATGGAACTCCCTAGCCAATCCTTGTATTTGACACCTTCACACCCACTTGTTATTTATGGATACACTATCAACCATTCGCCACGTGGACGTGAAAATTTACGCATGCAAAGCTACACCCAAATCGGGCAAGTCAGTCACTTAAGATCAAAGCTTGGGGTAGTTAGTCCACATGGCAGCTAGCAGTTATGGCTGGCCACGGCTATTGTTTGCTAAGGCATTGGACTCTAACTCTCCTTTGTTGAGTGCTTGGGGATCCTATTGATTTGCCTCATCTACATAGTGCATACCCTAATTTTGGTATGGCCGCAAGGATTGGTTTGGTTGGATTTATGTAAAAATTATGTCTATTTAGCAATTGAAGAGTCTTCAAGCATCAAGTTCTTAGGATGAAACTTAGGAAATGCAATGATTTATTTTAGTTCCAGTATATTTTGGAACAAGAAAGTACAATCCCTATTATATACCTTTGAGGCTGGAGCTTTCAGATCACTTGATCTGGGTAATCTCTAAAGGAAAGTGTGAGAGGTATTGAAGGATAATATTGTCAAGATAGCAACGACAAAATCCCTGCTTATTTCCATAAAGGATTTTTTTTCTTAAGCTTAATGCAAGTTCCAGTCTTAATCAAATTTGTACTCACATTATCAATTGGGATAGAAGTTTTCAGCCGTGTTTCAAGAATTTGATCTAGCAACTATTCAAGTTGTTCATACTGTATATGTGGAGGCATGTGGAGTTCAACCTGCTCCACTTAAAGATCTACATATTTTAGTCTCAATAAATCAACACAATTGGAAGTATACATGGTGGATTAATCCATTGATAGGCCATTAGCTTTACTTTGAGATATTTTTACTAAAACTTTGTTTCCTACCATAAGTTCAAGAGTGAACCATAATCAAGATCTTCACCTTGACCTTGATATATCCATTACCTTTTAAGCTTAAATTATGCTCAAAGACACTAATATTCAGCTTAAAAAAGCACTAATATTCAGCTTAAAGATATTATTTTTGTGTTTGACTTGCAAGTTATTCAGCACCTTTAGGCTTTATATTCATAACAAACCTCAATCAACACAACCAAGATGAGTCATATATGCTAGTCTCTTCTGTAATCAGATAGTTAGCTCACACTTTTGAGCGATTTCCATCAACTTTAATGGTTTTATACACCAACAGCATTTTTGCTTAACCAGTTTAATCAACTTTACTAACTTGTTAAGTCTTACCAGATATATAAGAGACTTTGAAACAAATATCTAAACTCAAGTGAATGTTCTATGGCACTTTGGAGACCCAACATAAGATCTATCTAAAGATCAACATTCTGAAATTCATCCAGAAATTACAACACTATATTTAAGTGAAATTTGCATAAAAACAAGAACTGCTTACACAATTTCGTAAGAAACACCCCAAGTATTTGGATGCAACTCCTTGAAGTGGGACTAACACAATACACCATTAAAGGATTTACAACCAGATCACCTGGAGGACATATCCATCCTTGTCTAACTTAGTCTTATTTAATGTGCAACTCCAACCATGGATAATATAGTAAAAAAGTCTTTTTAAATCACTAACAAAATAGAGCCTTTGACCTTGAACACCTTTACAGGATCTTGATCTTTTGGCTTCTCCAAAGTGTTTGAAGACTTTTGTTGTCTAGCATACTTTTTTACAAACACAAGTAAATATATACCTGATGTGCATTTAAACACTTCTTGGACAGCTTTTAAACAAGCAGCTGATATTAACTTTGATCCATCCTTTGCAAGTATCAAGAAAAGGGTCTAGCATATTGAAGAACCCTAAAAATCTGAGAAGATAAACGAGCTATAAACAGAATCCTTCACCCTAGTGCAAAGAGGAAAGGAAATTTTATGTAACATTTCGTTTGTCCAATTTGGGGTGAACCCTAACTGAGTGCTATGTGGCAAATTAAGTGTGAGGACAAGTTTTTGGTTCACATTGGGAAGAAGGTGTGATCACACAAGGTGTTTTGTAGTGCATTCTTGTGCCTCAAAGGTACACAGGGTGTTTAAACAGAAAAGTAAGCAGTTGCTTACTCACTATGCCTAAAAAAGTAAGCTTTTGTCTTGATTTATTGCATCACTTTCTAACAATGTCTTTAGCATTCTCATTAAAAGTCTCTGATGCCACACAAAGCCTTGAATCCAAGCTCTGTTTACATTGCTCAAATTAGCAACCACTCACGATGCTCAATGTAGCAAACATCAATCTTCCACACATGGTCCAGGAATGGACAGCCACACACTGCTTGTGAGAGCATATATGGCTGCCCCTCACCTCCACTATAAGAAGGACTAGCTCTCTATTCATGGATACATGCACCAAAACAAGGGAAACCAAAGAATGATCAAGGTGCTGTAGTAGGCTAGCATTTTCTTCTTGGCAAATGGGTAGTACTAAGTCAAGTGCAGCTGGGGGCGTAGTGGGAGAGAAATGCCTAGGGTACTCGCGGTATGGGACCTTGATGGATGTTAGAGCAGTGTTTGAATGTCCCAACCTGATTTCATAAACAGCACTTATCCAAAGCTGTGTGGAGAATGGTGAAGAGGAGTTGTTTTCATGAATACAAAAGTCACAATAGAGATGTTTATTAGATGCACAAATGTTCGTGGTATTTTGAGATCTTCAGTTCTTTGTGGCTAGACTCATGGCTAGTGCTAATTTGGTGGAGACAACCAATATCAACTCCTAGAAAGACTCACTTTCGTTCACTCTTGAGCTAGGAAGAGTAGATGTGACATAGATATATACTAACTATGGTAGTATTGGAAATGCTTGAGGGGTTTTTCTTTTCATCAAATGCCTCAATGGGACATGGTTTCTTAGACCTCTTTAGTGTTATTGGAAATTTGAAGGATTTTGATGAAAATAGAGTGGTGTGAACT